TTTATATATTTTTATGCTCTCTCCATTCTACGTAATTTAAAATTTCAATAATATTTTTCATAAATCTTATTTTTTTTGGTTTTTCATCAGAAAAGATAGATTATTATATTTTTCGGTATGTGAAGTAGTATACGATAATATATATTAGTTTTTTGACCTTAATATAATTCATTCTAACTCGATTTTTTATTTGTTGTTGACAACATTCATATGAGCTGTAATAATTTATTTTTCACTTTTTGCTTGATTTTTTTACGTTTAATAATTATTAAAATGGTAAAAGTAATTTATTTTGCAAATTCGGATTTTTATACAAGATAATTAATCTTATGAGGCATGTTTGAGTCAATCGGTTAGATTTAAACGAGTATAAAATAACTTTTTTTTAATTAGATTTAGCCACATTTCAAAAGATTTATCTATTTAAAAATAATACTATCTTGATTCGGTAAATAGTAAAAGAGGTAAAATATAATCTTACTTTAAATAGGATTAGAAATATTTAACTGTTTGAATATATGTGATATAATTTTAGTTGAAAATCAAAGAATATAAAAAATAAAATATAAGAATACAATAGATAAATATTTTATAGACTTTTTTTTTTAGTCATCTAATGGTATATTATAGTGAAAGAGTACACAATCCATACGAGTTATAATGACAACATCAAAAATCACATAGCATAAAGCCCACAGACACAAAGTTAAACATCGAGAAATCTTTGGCCAAGAGAAACAAAACACTAAACCGGAGAAGAAAGAGTATTTGATTAAAGAGGAAAGCAAAGTCAACACCCCAAACTCAAGCCAGAGAACCAAATGTACACCCACACTCAAATCCAAAGATTAAGAAGTAGCCAAATCTGAGCCAATAAACATAAGCAATGAACATAACCTAAACCTTGAGGCACACCAAGACGAAGGTCAAACGACCAAAACGCGGCTATAGAAACACTTTAACCAGCAAACAGAAATAGCGGACGAGAATGCAGGGGAAAAAGGCCACATAGCAAAGAACCAACGATCAAGTAACCTTATCAAAGACACCGGTAAACAGAGACGACAACGACGCCAAAGCAATAATAATCTGACCGCCAAGTCCAAACCAAGCTCTGCAACCCAACAAACGCATAGCCACTACAATCGCCTGGGGCAAAAAACTAGCACATCACTTCTACCAAAGGAACTCTAACTCATATTAACCTTACACAAGACTAAAACACAACACTCCACGACTATAGGTCAAACAACTCCACGAGATCAAAATCCCACCGCCCGAGACAAGTTCCGACCAAGAGTGACGTCGAATCGGGAAGAGAGAGTTGCATGAAACCAATACAAACCAGATCAAGCAAGAAAACCTAGAACTTAGCAAGCAGAGGAAGGGCCCGAATCCTGCCAAACCGAACCGAGAACACAGCCCCGACGACAAAGAACGAAACAACCACAAAACCCCACCGGAGAACTAGGCAGAGCTTGACCACAAACAAACCCTCACCGAAACGCGATTTGAAGCCCCACCACGAACAAATTCACATACCGGATCTAGACCGTAAATCCACCGAGAAACTAAAGCATAAAGTCTATAAACTACAAGATCCGGCTTAAGCGCTAAAGGAGCCGCCGACCGTCGGACCAACCAAGCAAAACGGAGATTTTTTACTGTAGCAGCCGCTCTGAAGATATCGCCCGAAGGTCCTCAATTTTTATTTTTCATATTTTATAGACTTCTATATAAATGATTTTGTAATAACTTTTCAATTTTATTTTATTATTTAAATGGAGTTATTTAATTTTGTCTTCTGTCTTTTCGTCTTTGATTTTTTGC